TAAGATAGAAAAATTGAAATTTAAAATAAGATATGAATTTATTAAAAATTATAAGTATAAAATATATTTTAAATAAATATTTTATAAAATATTAATAAAATTCGAGTTATATAATTTAATTAGTGATATTGATTTAAATTTTGAATCATTAATTTAATTATTAAATCAATGGTTGCACCCCAGTGGGAGATAGCTGGTGAAGGGAAAAGATAAAGCAGGAGTGTGGGTTTTACAATGAGTTCGACGTGAGCTAAAAGTAATACACCACTTACATTAAATTTTTTTTTCTTCAGAAAATGAAAAAAACGTTTTTCATTGAGCCTTTAAAATATTAGAGCCACGTGTCCAACGGAAAAGAAAAGAAATGGAGTTGTCCATTTCTATAAGTAACGGAGAGGATCGAAGTTGCGCAACATAACTTATTATCCCACCAACTGCAAATTGTCATGGACATAGTAGCGCTTGCCGTAGTTAGTGTCTTATTACTAATAGGTTACTTTATCAAACGGGCTACACCAGGTTCTGCTCGCAAGCCACCGGCAGCTGCCGGTGGGTGGCCCTTGATCGGTCATCTTCACCTCTTGGGTGGCTCCAGTCAAGCTCCTTACGAAGCCCTAGGAGCGTTGGCAGACAAGTACGGCCCAATATTCAGCATCCGAGTTGGAGTGCACCCAGCGGTGGTGGTGAGCTCTTGGGAGTTAGCCAAAGAGTGTTTCACCACTCTCGACACAGCTCTCTCCTCTCGTCCCAAATTCACCGCTGCAAAACTCTTGACCTACGACTATGCTGGTTTCGCCTTCGCCCCTTACGGAGATTTCTGGCGTGAAATGCACAAGATAGCGGTTTCAGAGTTACTTTCCGCACGCCGCTTGGAACTGCTCCAAGGTATCAGAGATTCGGAGGTGCAGAGCGCGTTGAGAGAGCTGTACAGAGCGTGGGAGGAGAAAAGAGGCGATTTGATGGTGGAGATGAAGCAGTGGTTTGGAGACATGATTCTTAACGTGATTCTGAGGATGGTTGCTGGAACGCGATTCTGTGTTGCAAGTGTAGATGATGAGGAAAAGGTGAGGCGTGTTCGGAGGGTACTTAGAGAGTTCTTTCGTTTGTTGGGATTGGTTGTGGTTGGTGACGCCATTCCCTTTCTTGGGTGGCTTGATTTGGGAGGTGAGGTGAAGCGGATGAAGAAAACGGCTATTGAAATGGATGACATCGTTTCTGAATGGTTAGAAGAACACAGACAGCGAAGAGAGTCAGGTGAGACCAAAAGAGAGCAAGACTTCATTGATGTCTTGTTATCTGCCCTTGACGGCGTTGACCTTTCTGGTTATGATGCTGATACCGTCATAAAAGCCACCTGCTCTGTAAGCACTGTTAGATTTGCAGAATCTTTCTTTTATACTTTTTTATTAGACAAATCCTACGCACCCTTATATATTTAAAAGATTTTGAAAATATTTTTAAATACGTGAACATTTAGTATTTTAGAATAGTTTAATATTTATAAAATTTTATATATTTAATTTAACTAATTTAAAATTAAAATTAATTATAATGATATATTTACTAATGATTTAGTAAAATAATCTCTTTTAATTAAAAACTTTTAATTTTTAAACTTATAAATTTAAACATTTTTGTTTATTTTTCCTACAATTTATTATAATACTAATAAATATTACTTACAAATTTATTTTCATAAGAAAAAAAGAAATTCTTGCGATATTTTTTTTGTGAATATTTACCATGAAAAAAATTTCCTATGATCACTTAAATTGTAATATAATTTGTAAAAATTTCTTGTAAATTATTTTTTATAAAAAATTTAAAAGAAATTCCTGCAAAATATTTTATACAAAATTTTTTTCTTGAGTTATTATAGCAAGAAAATTCAGAAAAAATTCTTATGAATATTTTTTTAGGAAAATTCATAAGAAAAAAAAAGTGTTATTATATTCTTATATCATTATTAATTTTTAATTAATTTATAATTAAAAATTAATATATATTTATTATAAAATAAAAATGAAATAAATTATTATTATGTTTGAATATATAAATTATATTTAAAAAATAGATACTTTTAAATACATAAATTATATTTTAGATTTATGATAAATAAAAATTAAATTAATTAAGAAGTGAAAAAAATCTTTAAAAACCTTCTCATCGAAGAAAAACCACTAAAAACGTTATCAAAATAAATGTTCATATTTAATATATAGAATTTGATTTATAATAAATCATATATATATATATATATACTATGTCCAGTTTTGCCGACAATATGGGGGTGATTGATGCTCATCTCCTATGATAGAACTAAAATAAATATTACCTCTATTTTTGTTTTGGATTTATTGTGAATTTCATGTAAAAATAGTTAGATGTTTGAATGTTTTGTTTTATATTTAAATATGCTTTTAATCTTTCATATTTGTGTATATATATTTTTATTCTCAAATTTAAAATTTGTGTTTTTAATTTTCTAAATATATATATATATATATTATTTTAGTCTTTATAAATTTGTCACTATCAATTATGATATTAACTATTAAAATAATATTTTTTAAAATTATATGATTAAAAACATAAATTTTAAATTTGAGAGACTAAAATAATAATTTGTTATATTTTAAGGACTAAAAACATAAATTTTAAATTAGAGTGGATGAATTCAACCCTAACTCAATTTAATAGTATGGTTATTCATTTTGTTTATGTTTAATATATATATTAGATGGCACTTATGAATTAACTTTAGTAGATTAGTTTTTTCACCTCCTGTTTAGGTATGATTAAGTTCAATATAGGATATAGTTGTTTTTGACCCAAAAGGCTTAAACGGGTGTTCTATTTAAAATTTGAAAATGTTGATGACATTGTTGCATCTTTTTAGACGATAATAGCTGCAGCAACAGATACTACAACAGTTAGCATGACTTGGGCACTATCGTTATTGCTGAACAATCGCCATGCCCTAAAGAAATTACAAGATGAATTAGATGAGCACGTGGGAAAGGAAAGGCTAGTAACTGAATCAGACATTAACAAATTAGTATATCTTCAAGCTGTGGTTAAAGAGACGCTGAGATTGTATCCAGCTGGACCACTCTCAGGTCCACGTGAATTCACAAACGATTGTACTTTAGGAGGCTACCATATCGAAGCAGGTACCAGATTTTTTTTCAACATTTGGAAGTTGCATAGAGATCCACGTGTGTGGTCAAACCCATTAGAGTTTCAACCTGAAAGATTCCTCACCACCCACAAGGATTTGGAGGTGAAGGGTCAACATTTTGAGTTACTTCCCTTTGGTGGTGGAAGAAGGTCCTGCCCTGGCATGCCGTTTGCCCTTCAAATGACACACTTCGCATTAGCCACCTTTTTGCAGGTATTTGAAGTCACAACCCCAAACAATACCCAGGTTGATATGAGTGCCACATTTGGACTCACATGCATCAAAACCACTCCACTTGAGATTTTAGCAAAACCTCGTCTACCATATCATCTTCTCTTTACCGATGAAACTAAGGAAAACCCACCAAGTTAACCTTCACGTGTCTATCTTTATTATTAAACGATGGTTGTATTTCTCCCGCCAACTCCATGAATTGATCGCTACATGTTTAGAAGTGGATGTTGGTGAACACAGTTTTATTTGAGTACAATATGGTGTGTTAAAGTAATAATCATATATTTAAAATGGGTTAATTAAATGTTTGAGAAAAATAATAATGTGCTTATAAAATATATTCAATAGTTATTTGTTTATTCAATTAAGAAGGCAAAAGTATTCAATTAAAAAATAAGTAGTATTTTAAATATTCTTTCATTAAGTAGGCAAAAGATTAATTTCATAACATCCATTTAAATATTTGAGTGCAAATTCTTTTTAGCGATATTTGTTATATACATGAATAAAAAAAATGTGCCTAAAAATAACTCATGATCATTTAGTGCACACACAAAATCATCTTGCATTACAAATGAATATTTTTAAAATTTGCTAAGCGATGATAATTTCAATGTGTTCATTAGAGTAAAAAAAATGAAATTAGTTTAATTTTTTCTTATTATTTTCTTATTCTGTAAAGTATTTTGAAGATGTTTATGCAAACAGTACTTTTACTATCGAGATCCATGATCGAGCTTTTACACTAAATTTAAGAGAGTACAATTCAACCCATAGTCTCATATTACTTTCATACTCAATTCATCACTTTAGATTAACTGTGTTCAAGTCATGAAAAAGAACAAACCTCTCTAACCCTATTTGCCTTTTAGACTAAGTTTTTTGGCTCACTTGATGGGCTAAAGGAACCCATACATCAAATATCAAGCTCATGTTTTGGACGACTTAGTAGTTAATCTAAAGAGGGCTCAAAGGGAATGGCACGATATCATGCGATTGCCCCAACCAGGGTGTAGGTCGAGTATTAACTAAGTTCATTAAGAAATGGATAAAGCTCATAAAATAGATCAGGCATAATTGATCTTCGTGTTGATATTTGAGGGTCTTCCTGACTATAACAAGTGCTATATGATTTTCCCTCGATCCAGCTCTTCTTAACTATTTTTCCGAAAAGACATAGTGGCTAACAAAGGAGGTTGAAAATGTCTTAAGACCAATGTAATTCAGGTTTTGTTATTTTGTTTTTAAATTAATACATGTAATAGTTAGTTCCTGATATAATATTTTTATTCAATTATCCACGTGCTACTATTTCATTTATCACCGATCTGTTTTATATCAACAGTTCATTATAACTAAATTGAAAAGATATCGCATTTTTATGAATAAAAATTTATTAAATTTATATTTGTACCATTTTTTTTTCTTATCATCTTTTATTTATGAATCAATCGAGCTGCAAAGCTCAATTGCAAAACATATCAAGAACGAGTACAAAAATAGACGCTCTATGCAAGCGGCGGATGGAAGAAAGATCATGATCAGCTATGTAAAAAGTCTAAGACTACAATTATGGAACTATGAAAGTCCCTCAAAGGTTTTGAATTAAAATGTGCAGTGGCACATCTGTACATGTACAGTTGCATTTAGTTGTCTAAAATTATCTCCATTACTAGAACTATTGCAGTATGAACACAACATCTCAATTGTAACGGCACCTCTTAGTGAATTGAATGAAATATTTTCTTCGCACACACAAAATAAAAATAAAAATAGGTAAGTTGTCTTCAAATATAAACCAGAAACGTCACATTTTCTAAAAGTATAAATGACTAATGGGTGAAAACAGAAGATAGAAGGATAACACCATTGACATACTGTACTATATTATATTATAAATTTAAATATAATTTCTGTCACTTTAATTTACCTTTTTTTAATTTATTTTTTATAATTTTTAGTCCTTATAATTTTTTTTTATGTTTTATTCATAACATTTTATAACGTTTCAAAAATAGTTTTCACCATCATCTACTATTAAAAAAATGTGTGTGACAAACAAGATAAATATTATATTCGTTATATTTCAATTCATCATTACCACATTGATAAATTGATTTATTTTTTTAGAAAAAATTTCAAAATCTACTTCACTTCATGCACCCAAACCCTCACTTTTGTGATCGCGTTTCTCTTTTCTCACAATCCATGATCTCGACATTGAGTGGTCACCACCTCACATTGGAGGAGTTCGATCTCACACTTGCCTACTCCTCCATTGTGCAAGAGTTTAGGTGTCGTAAGAGCATCTATCACTCTAGTGACGTCATCATTAATGTTGCCTTCTCCAAGGCTAAGAAGCACTGTGTTGGTTGGCTCAAGACTATCAAAATTGTCACTACCTATTGTCGTGATTACCACAACAGAGACAAGTGGGACATTTATCAGAGAAAGGAGACCAATGGATCTAGCTCGGCCATTGATGAAGGCCAAGACACAACACTCCACAATTTGAAGAGGGTGTGCGTGGAAAGTATAATATAGTGACAACAATGAGTGTGTTTTGAAATTTTGTCTAAAACAATTTAAAATTAATTTACCTAAATAACAATGATAAAGTGAAATATAATGAATATAATATGTATTTTATTTGTCAATACGATTTTTTCAACCGAAGCTGACAACAAAAACTATTTTTGAAATGTTATAAAAGGTTATGAATGAAACAACACCAAAAAAAATTATAAGAAAAAAAATTTATATTTAAGCCTACATTATATATATATATATAGAGAGAGTTTAAAATTATTATTTTTTATTAATTTGTTAACTAATGAATATTTACAATTAAAGAAGTTTGTCACCCACATTAGGTAGCAATATTTTTTTAAAAAAATATGTAAAAGATAGAAACTTACTTAAAATAAGACTTCTTAAAATGAGGGATCAAATGATACATGTATAACTTTTACTAACTATTACACTATTTAATTAGATTGAAAGTTCTTTATTCCTAGGTATATATATATATATATATATAATTTTATATTAATTCAAGATGATTTGATACCTTATTTATATAGATCAGAATTAACGTTATCTAAACATTTTAAAATATACTAAAATATGAATAATTTGATTACCTTCAAATTGTTATTTAATTTGAACAAAATTTGACTAAAACATACAACATGATATAAAGAGTAAGTCTTGGTAGACTTATTTTATTCAATAATTCATATTCTACATCAAATTTCAGTGATCTAACAATTAAATTACAAGTTTTTAATGTAAAGACCATGTCTACAAATTTTTTAAAAAATTTGTAGACTTAAACTATACATGAATAACTTTTAATTTAACGATTAGATCATTAAAATTTGATGTTAAACATGAGTGTGTTGTTAGGTTTTGTGCTCCCTTCCTATGTGGAGAATAGACCTAAATTGTGTAAGTCCATCATGTCTCACTTAACCAAGTGGAGAGGGGTCAAATTAGGATAGAGATAGAGTTACTCATTTTGAGAGAAAACATAACAAAATATAGAGAGAAAGTTACAGGTCGCATATCTACTAGGTAGCGTTGTTGAATTGCAATTGGAGATTTGTTCACCATTGGATCATATTGATTTTTGGACAACAAGTTTGTATGATGTGGCATTTCATATTCAATGGTTGAATTGTTGAAAAGAAGTTTGGAAAAGAATAAAAATATTTCACTATAAAAACTATTTTGGGACTTTTCATCTTCTAATTTCTCAATTATAAACAATTGTGCTCAATTTTGCTTATTGTAAGCATTATTATATGCATTCTTTAGAGACTCTCTTGTAGCATTTTATTGATCAGAGTTGAGTTTTTTCTTCGATCAGAACGACTCGTGGTTTTTACCATTACATTGAGTGGTTTTGTACATTAAAATTTTTTGTGTCTCTTGTGTGTTTGGGTTATCTATTTTTGCTCTATTTTGTTGGTGCTCCTCGCAGATTCTTGTAAGTAGGGGGATTTAATTTTTGGTATGTTATTGCTCTTTTTCAAGGTTGTTGTTATTGTGTTGGGGTTTCCCCCAAATTAGAGCTCTTTAGTTAAGAAACTGTTTGACTTGCTTAAATGATAGAGACATATATGAAGATGATCTCTTTAAATGGAGCAAATTATATATCACCTGTGGAAGGGCAAGATGAAGGACTTGCTACCTATGAAGAATTTGCATTTTCCTATCTTTGCTTCTAATAAGTCAAAATCCAAGTCTAATGAAGAATGAGACTTTGGGCATCAACAAGTATGTGGATTTATCAGACAATTTGTTGACGATAATATCTATAATGTTATTGTCAATGAGACACAATAGAGAACCCGATGGGATAAGCTTAGGTCCCTATATTCTTCTAAATAAAGGACTAATAAATTATTTTTGCTAAAGAATTTTGTGGAGTTGAAGCACAAGAAGGGACTCCCATTATAGATCACTTAAGTGAATTTCAAGGGTGTTTTGATCAACTATTTGGAGTGGGTCTAAGATTTGATGAAGATTTATTGGGATTATTCCTATTAAATTCTCTACCTGATTTATGGGAGACATTCTAGGTTTCCATGATTAGTGTTGCTCCTAATGATGATGTTTCTTTAAAAATGGCAAAGAGTGGTGTGCTTAATGAGGAGATGAGAAGGAAGACACAAGTTACTTCATCTCATTCAAAGGTACTTGTTACTAAGAACAGGGGGATAAGCTAGAAGAAAGAACAGTAAAATGGTAGAGATAAAAACAAGAGCAAGTCCAAGTCTTGGTACAAAAATGTGGAGTGTCACTTTTGTCACAAAATAGGACATATACAAAGGAATTGTTTTCTATAGAAGAAGAATAAAAATATGAAGGGTAAGTAGAGAGAGATCGTGATGATAGTGATCATGTTACTGCTGCTACTAGTGATGATCTTGTTCTTCTTGGTGATCTTGATGCAATTAATCATGTATCTGATGTAAGCATGTAAATAATAGATAATGGTGCTACACTGCATGTTACAGCCAATAAGAAGTTCTTTACATCTTATCCTCTTGGTGATTTTGGAGCATTGAAGATGGGTAATGATGGCGTGTCCAAGGTGATTGGTGTTGGTGATGTTTGCTTCACTAGTAGAAAATAAGCATATTACGTCACCCCTTTTACGTCGGAAATACGAAAATCCGACGTAAAAAAAATGCGGTGGCATTTTTGTAATTTTTTTGCGAACTTTTTTACGTCGCACCTGGTAAGGTC